TATTGTATCTGTTTGGAATTCAACTGTTTGATTCCATCACTTCAACCCCTCATTAGTCTAGTATCAAGTCCGGACAACATAAGGAAAAATAACGTAACAATACAAGATTATGCATATATTTTATTTTATATATGCCTATAAATCTCAACACAGCTACTTTATTGATACTCTTATTCATATATTTTAGATTAAATTTATTTATATCCTAAATCAACATTTTCTATACTTTATCAAGTTAACTTTAATCACATTTAATGTTTGGACAAAAATAAATATGCAAAAAAGACCGGAGGAGTATCACTCTGATCTTTATTGTAGGTCGCTAGAGAAAACTTTTAGTCTTAAATATAAATTATTTATAAGGTATTTATTGATCATTTTTTAATTTTAATTTTATTTGATTTTCATCAGAAAGAAAGAAATAAGAGAGGGAGATGACTAGGTAAGAATGATTTCTAAATAAAAAATTATTAAATTTTATCAATTTAATGTGTTTATTGATGTATATTAGTGATTAAGGTGTTCAAAGGATGATATTGGTGAATAGTGATGCGATGGAATTTATGTCTTGTGTCCCGTCCCGGGACCTCCGTCACTCTTTTTTCCCCTCAACCATTGCAAATTGGACCAAAATTTTGGTTTTTTTTTCCTTTATGTTGTAGGCTTTTGAAAGATAAAAACACTGAAAAAACTAGTATGCAAAAAGCCTAAGTTACAAGCAAAAAAAAAAAAGAAAAGAAAAGAAAAATCACGTCTTTGATAGTAACAAAAGTCACTAAAAGAAATGAATAAATATCTCGGAACAGTATGGGATGGGGTGTCCTGTTTCATCTCTTCCCAGTTACTATTTTATTCCATCTCATAGTTGTTCCGTTCTGAGTTTTTTTTTGTCTCGTCTCGTGTCAACAGGTTAAGTTGAGAACTCTAAAATCATTCATAATAAAAAGTGATACTAATTAAAACTGTAAAAATAATGGGCTATATTCAAGTGGGCATGTTTCCTGAGTGCCCCTCCTGTCGCACTCTCTTGCTAAAGCTAGTTGGACGGATTCACTCACTTGCGTCCAATCTCGTATCTCTATTTAACGTTTATGCGGACGTCGCTGTAACTGGAAAACAAAATTGCACACCTGTCTGTTCATTCCACACGAACGAATTGGAAATTTCCCATTCCTTCATGGTTTTACTTGTAAGTCGCTTTTCAATATGTTTTATTATAATATAAAAAAATCTTATATTTGGTTACTTTTATCTTAAAATTTAATAACTTTCTAACTTTATCTCCATGTAATATGTATACATTTTAATTTGTTAACAAAATAGTAATAACGTACATAATAATAAATAAAGGAAAAATAATGTATTTATGTTAAAAATTTAATAATGTGACTTAAAAAAAAAACTTCTTTCTCCATTTGTAAATAGGACCAAAAGAGTATAAATAACTTTCTTTCGCCTTAACCAATTTTCATTAATTTCTTAATCTCCATATTCGATTTTTTAGCCATATAAAAAGGATTGGAGGAAGTAGTAATACTAGGGCATTTGATATTTGTTTTTCTATTTTGCCCTTCTATACAATTAAACTTTATAAATAATTAGTTTATTATAATTAATTTAGCAGTGACTTTTGTCAATGACATGTTTAAAAAATTTTACAAACTTTTTACTTATCAAACGTTGTAAGCTACAGTTTGACGTCCATGCAAGGTTAGATTATATTTATATTATCCAGGGAGGATGCTTTCTCTCCGATTTAGAATTCAAGTTACTTTAACAAATTAAAATAAAAAATGGTAATTAATTAATTAAATCCGTTTCAAATTGAATTTTTTTACGATTTTACCTCTATTAAATAAGGTTGTAAAGGAGAAAAATACAAATCACGTCTAAATATTAATTCTACGGGTTAAATTGATAAATAAGTATTACTTCCTTTCTAATATTTATATTCTAATAGACTTATATCGTAGTCACAAAATTTTTGTGCAAAGGACTTGTATTATGAATAGGAGGAGAAAGTACTCCTCTATCCTATTTATAAGGCAGAGCAAAAGATATTTTTTGGTTCTATTTATAAAGCATTGAGAGAAATTTTTTGTATGGATGTATAATTTTATCCCTATTTATTATTATGTTGATTTTGTTTACATGAGGTATAATGTAAATTAAATAGAGATAAAGTTGAAAGTTATTAAATTTTAAATGAGTTAATGAAGTTTAAGATTTTTCTTGGTATGTGTGAAACATGCTGAAAGTGTCTTATAAATAGGACCAGAGAAGTATTTGATTTATGCACCCAAGGCCAAGATTCTTGAACCAACAAAAGCCTATAATGCACATATTATTGCTTCATTAAATTCAGTGCTTTGCCTAGTCATAGTAGTATTGTTTAATTTGTCTGCCTAGGTGAGGATCATACAAACTACTATATTTTTATTTATTCAGGGCAATCATGTCATCCACTAGTATATTTTTCATGACATTATATTTTTTGCCAAACTGATCAATTATTTTATGTAGCAAACATTGATTCCAAAGTAGGTGTTCGGCCAAAAATGAATGAGATCGAGGAAGCATATTTGAGCTGGTCATCAGGCATTGGCGATACAGATAATCCAAACATGAATTTAGGCAGGCAAATAAACTGTGTCCTTTATATATTATTACTTCATGTTTAAATTCACACGAACCATACATACGCACCTTAATTAATTAAGGGCAATAATTTTGTAATTAATTATATAACTGTTGGATATCTTTTAATTAGCTGGGTAGTGAGTGCAGAAACATGTAGGAGATGAGCAATGAATCGGCCACTATATAGAGGATAATGAAGCACTTTATTTATGAAATTAAAGAGGGAAAAAAGGGACCATGTATGATCTCTAAAAGCTCTAATTTGAGGAAAAGTGACGATGGATGGATGGATGGTTGGAGTGAGCAAAATGGACATTTCTCATCAACATAGAAACAAAAGAAGGCCATCACTGATCGTGCACAATGAGCGAACAAGGAAATCCCACAATTATAATATGCTCTATACATATATACGAATGCAAACTCGATTCATTCATGAGATAACACAGAAATATAATGCCCCATCACACACAAAAAAAAAAAAAAAAGATGCTTGACGTGATGGGAAAAAGGCTTCATTTAAGAGATGATCATATATATATTTGTCTAAATTTTTGTAGGATATGGGATGGGCCCTCCAAGCACCCAGCTTGTTTCCCACGTACCCCTTGCTTGACCTTAGTTCCCATAATAATTGAGTCTCTCATAGATTAGCAGCAATATTGTTCATAATGTGTGTGTCAACCAGTTTTTCCCCACAATCCGCCAATCAAACTCTCACAAATATCATCGCTTTTTGGCTCAGCAACATCCATCCATATTTGTATTTGTCAAACACTACGCTGCTACTGTCCAACAAATATCAAGAGTTGACTTAATTGGGATATGGGAGTTTGAGATTACACATTAATCATATTGCCATGTGACAACACCCTATAATATCTGACTCTATGTTTCATATTGCTGGGGCTTAGCTTGCCTGTTACGTTCTAGACGCTGCCTGCTCCTCTTAATTGCCAATGTGTTCTCTCCTCATTGGATGCCTCTTAATATATTAACATACATGTGCCGCTGCTCCTCAACACGCCTCTTTCTGAAAAAGAGGGGAGGAAGAGACATATAGTTAATTAGGGGGTAAAAATAAAAAAAAAAACATTAAATTATCAGAGATATCCAAATCAAAATTTATAGAAAAATCAGGCCCTTCAAAGATTTGAAGCTTATATTTTCAAGCGGATAGAGTATGTGCTTAAAAATTATCCAGTAATTGTTTACAGACTGATATTACTAACTATAGCCAGTGTGACTCTTCTGTTAGGGGCGAAAACACATGTAAGAGAAAGATTTTATTTTGATGCATGAAACGGCACCTTTTGATTCTTTTGAAAATACGACAAAACTTTTTATAAATACTCAAATGAAATTTCCTCAACACCGCTGTGCAAGAGGATGGATATTTTTAAATGGGTTTTGGACATATCATTAAAGTGACTGATATATCTTCATCTAATGTGTGTTTGTTTTCAAATTAACTAGGAATTTAAATTTAAAATATATAATTAAAATAATTTGAATTCTTATGATGAAAACTTGCAGAACGAAATGATTTATTTAATTCTATTGAAAATCTAAAGCCCATAAAACATCCAATTCAAATATTTAGGTAATATCTTCAGATTAATTTATTTAAACATCACGAACACGTTTTTCGCATATATTCTTATGGTCCTAAATATAAGACCCATTTTATAGTGCAAATAAAATTGGTCTTACAGGAGTATAAATTTAACTACTCACCCAGTTTCAAATCATTTATTTATACTCCTCCGGTCCTTAATATAGGACCCAATTCTTAAGTTAGTTTTGGTCTTAAATATAAGACCCATTTTTCATATTTATCAATTTTCTCTTAATTACCCTTATGAATACTCCCTCAAGTATAATCAAGTAGAAGAGGGAGAGGAGGTATTATAAAAGATGTTTATGGTATTTTAGGAAAAATGTGTCACTTTTCTTATAATTAACTAACTTACCTAACTTCCTTAATCTAATCAAATTATTTAAATGGGTCTTATATTAAGGACCGGAGGAGTAATATCTTAGAAAGCAGACAACGTCTTTTGGGGTTTGTTTTCATTTTGACGTATTGTTTCTTATTATAGGCCATATCATGCCGAAAGAATGCAGGTAGTGAATTCTGTATGTGTTCACTTTTTTGTTTGCTTTCCGATTAAAAAGGAGATGATAGATACAGCTACAGCTGCAGGGGGGTGTGAAGTAAAATACTTGCACACATTTCAGCAACATGGAAAACACACAGTATATCACATATATAAATTCTACATTATAGTTTTCTCAGTGAAAGAATAAGCGGAGAAACCAGCTGAGCTCCATTGCTAACTACACCGAAAAAGCTACTTGCTGGTCTCCAAATCCTCTCACTTGAATCAGACCCCAATCCACAAAATAAATGGAAAATATGGAGGAAGAGATTCCGGGGACACATCTATGTATCTGCAAGCATCCCTCGTTGTATCTCCTCCGCTGTACTTAATTAGCCTCAGGCCTGCTTCTTCAAATCCTGTGCATGTATGAATGTTCCGTGGAAACCATATGGAACTCTGGAAGGAAGCTTAATGGAAGCTTCTAACTTCAAATTCATGGCATTCACAATTCGCAGTTCTGACTTCCACTCCTTCTCATCATGCACGAATGTTAGGATATACCCGTCATCTTCTCTTTCTGAATGTTGGTCTCTGGGAAGAAACAGAGGCTCCCCTCCGAATCTTTGGTCGCCGTAGACATACTTCTCAATCTCTCCGGTTAAAAGGTCCACTTTGGCAAAGCCTGAAACTTTAGGCCACGGCTCCGCAAGTGCCAAGTACGCATACCTCGTCTTCCTCCCAAGCTTGTTCTTATTCACCATTCCGGCTTCTAAATTCACCTGCTCTGCTTCCGAAATAATGGGTCGGCGCGTCGACTTGCCGGTCTTCCAGTTCAATCGAATTTCGCAGAGAACACTCCTCAAACTCTCGTCACATTCATTGAAAATGGAATCCGCTGGTGTCATGCAAGACCCGATCACCACAACCTCATCACTCTCTGGCTCTTCCCACGCATTCCAGAGATGAAAACAGAAGCAATCAGGAGCTTCGACCCATCTCACCCCTGACGCATCGCTTGCATTCTTGTCCAAAATCCCAAATCGGGACATCTTTTTCTTATCATATATCACCGGAGAGCCGCCCCGAATCATCTCAGAAAGCTTGAACACCACCTGCTGATCTGGGATTACCACGAACCTCTCCGTTATAGCGAAGTCATGCATCATAGTGGGCTCGGAGAGATTAATAGGAACGTCGGGGGATTTTTCACCGTCTGGGGAGACGCGGAAGTACTTCAAGTATGGTTTCTTGACGACATCATAGCTCAGAGCGAAGAGATCTCCGGTGACAGGGTCCACTTTTGGGTGCGCAATCATTGTCGATTTTAACTGCCCATCGAAATCGTAACGACTGACGGTCTTGAGGTCTCCACTGGGGGTGACTCGAACATGGTAAGGCAAATCATCTTCGGACATAGCGAGAAGATGATTGTTGAAATACACCAATCCGGCGTTTGCCACACCCATTCCATGGCTTCCGTCGACGAGGCCGAAGAGCCCACGAGCGTAGAACAGAAGGAGACGAGCGATGCCAGAGTGACCATGAAGCTCACCGATTGCTTTGGGGAACACCGGGCGACCCAAAGCTTTTTCCTGGACGAGACGGTGTGTTTGGGTGAATCTGCAAGCATAGCTGGCAGAGCCGTCTTTCAATTGAACGGCGTGGACCATGCCATCGCCGTCAAAAAAATGGTGACCAGCGACTGGCTCGTGAAGTGGATTGGCGCCATTACGGAGGTAAACGCCACGAATGCAAGAGGGGATAATGCCAGCGACGGGGAGGGAGTGGTGGATGGGGTTCTCCGGCACGGGCGCAAAGTTGCCGGAGATTTGGACTCTGGGGTCGGCAGTTTTGGGAAGCGGGTGATGGCGCTCGTGGGAAAGCAAGGCTGATTCCACAGCGTCCAGAGCCAAAGACGCGGCCCTCTGAAGAAGGTTGTGAGCAGGAGGCGACTGTTGATGGAAGTGGTCGGGGAATTGGAGTGTTTGGAGGGAGCAAGTTGCGTTGAACTTGAGATAGGAAGGGGAATGAGGGGAGGGAGAGTGTTTAGGGAGTTTAGGATTAATAGTCCAAGGAGGAGAAGAAGAGGAAGAAGCAAGAGATGCAGGCATGGTGAGCAAGAAGTGGAAATTGCAGGAGGAGGAGGAGGAATGAGAAGAAAGGGGAGGGAGGGGAGAGGTATATATAATGGATGGAGGCTGAAGCCCCACATGAGGGAGAGGGCCACGTGTAAGTCTCCTGAAATGGCAGGATTAAAAATTGCCCCACATATGAGGGAGAGGATTGCTAAAAGGGGTTTGGATTTTCCGACTCCGAAACAACTATGTAACCAGACATATACAGAACTTGCTTGACAAATGAACTCCCCAAGACTTGTAATCTTGTCTCGCGTCCTTTTTCCTCTTTTTCATGCCGCCTTCCACTCAACCACCCCATATATGCCTTTCCTTTTTATATCTTTTTTTGACCAGAGATTTCCTTTTTATATCATCCTATCATGTAATGTAAATTCCTTGTTACATTATGAATTTTACTTAACAAAAAGTCTTATCTGTCTTCTTTATTTTTTTTTTAAAAATACTATATATTTATTTAAATTATTTCTTATATATATATATATTAGAACATGCTTCGATCGTGACCTAATCTTTTAGGGCAAAATGATAACCCAATACGTTTTTTATTTTATTTTTAATATTACAGCAAATTAATGTGTCTCTAATTTGAATTCTGCAATGAATTTGATGTTTGGTGTAATATTTTGTTAGTGATATTTTATTATCATATTGAAAATCAAATCAGCGTCATGTTGGAGAAGCGCTCATTATCTTTATTTAATTTTCATGGAAAGCTGTGAAATGGACGCATGGAATTGTGACGAAAGTTAATTTCTTGAATGAAAATGAAGCAGATATATATAAACCAAAGCAGTTAAACTACATTGAAAAGATGATGGTTATGATATGACGTTGAGGGAATAGTTTCTATGAAAGTATGACCAAAATTTGAAAGACACATATTGTAAGGGAAATCTTCGATCTATTTGTACCGCCTCAGGAAATAACAACTGTTTTACTTATTGATAATTACTTTTTTTTTTTTTTTACTGGAATCTCATTGTTATTCTCACGTTCTGCTTCTGCACCACATGTAGACAATAATAAGGTACATGAAAATAAGTGAGTTTTATCTGGGCGCACTGAATGAAACAGGTGGCACCAATGGCATTAACACTCAATTAACAAATTAAAGATAGAGTATTTTATATATATGTTATGTACAACCACACACACACACACACAGAGATAGCTATATAGTAGTGTTGGGTGGTGTCATGTTGCCTTCTTCACATCTCCAATGAATCCCGCGTCACTTCCTCTATTCTCGCCCCTTCTTTAATTAATTCCGTTATAGTACGTACTCCTTCCCTCTTCTTTTTCCCCTTCTTTTAATTAACTTCCCCACACCTTTGCTTTCACACCCACTCTTCATTCATCATTTGTGTGTCTGAGTGTTTGATATCTCATTTTAACTAACTTACATTTCATTCTTCCATGTTATAATATCCGTTAATTATTCATTGCTGATGTAAGGTGATGCAACTCTTCGCTCTTATATTTCCCTCCTTTTCTCTCTTCGTATCCATCTGTCTACCTTTTGCCCAATAAGCATAGCTTTCAATTCACCACCCACACATACACACACTCGCCCTCCTAAATATATTTTGCACAAGCTTCCATTGCTTTTTATTGTAGTCACAACTCCATCTGCAAACAAATTTGGTAAATAATATAATTAAGCTTCATAATGCTTAATTTGTATCATTCTTATTAAGCCACCAACCGCAAAATAAATACATAAAAATCTTAACCCACCACACTATATCAACAAACTAGAAATGGTTATATATGTATATCTATATGCGGATTCCCAAGAGTTGAGAAACTAACTTCCCTTTCTTATTACTCCTTCGTCCTTGAGTTGATTTTAGTCCTAAATATAATGCCTATTTTTTATATTTCTCAATTTTCTCTAAATTACCCCTATGGATACTCCCTCAACCATAACCATTCAAGTAGAAGAGGGAGATGGGTATTAAGAAAGATGATTATGGTGTTTTAGGAAAAATGTGTCACTTTTATTATAATTAACTAACTTAGCTAACTTCTTAATCTAATCAAATTAGTTAAATGGGTCTTATATTAAGGATCGGAGGAGTATATATACTACAAGTGTTCTCTTGCATGCGCATGCAAATATCTATCTCACACATAAGTCATTCACTTGAATATAGTTAGATTCTCTAGACTCTACCCTTAGCTATTGCTAATTCATGACTTGAGCATCAAAACATTGACCCACTCACCCTTCTCCGTAAAACTGAACTAACTGCAATACATTTTCTAAGCTATATGTGTCTTGGGTGTGAAATGAACCTTAGTTACCGTGCCAAACTAGATAAATACTACCTCTGGTCCTTTATAAGACCTCGTTTGACTTTTATTTTGATTCTCAATATAAGACTCCAATCTATTTTGTCTTTCATATTTATGTATTTTTCCAAGGTAGTTCTTCTAACAATGGTAACTCTAACTAATACTATTTAGGAAAGACAATACTACTCCTCAGTCCTTAATATAAGACCCATTTAACTAATTTGATTAGATTAAGAAGTTAGGTAAATTTTAATTATAAGAAAAGTGACACATTTTTCCTAAAACACATAATTACTTTCTTAATCCCCCCCCCTCTTCTACTGATTATGGTTGAGGGAGTATCCACAGGGGTTATTTAGAGAAAATGAAAAATATGAGAAATGGGTCTTATATTTAGGACAAAACCATAGATTGGGTCCTATATTAAGGACGGAGGATTACTATTTATTACAAATACTAACTTAACTTCTTTCTTTATCTCCTCAATTAGTTATTAGCTTTTATAATTACGTGGAGGTAGTATTTGTTTGGAGGAGATCAATGTGTGTGTGTGTTGGGGGGGGAGTCTGCGAATAGTTTCAGCCAGAGCCACATTGAGTGATATACTAATATTAATATACGTGGTGAGGAGTGAACAGACTAATTAACAACGTATATATATATTTATTTTATGTAATATAATAATTAATCAACTATTTGATTAATTAGCTAAAAATGGCACACTTCCGCCCCACATAATCGTTTACGCGTATGTTTCAGCCAGTCACAATTAAACACTAATTAAAAATATTCAGACTGTTGTCATAGTGAGATTCTTACTCATGATTTGCTCTTCTTACGTACTCACTACTTACCAAAGCCACCCCACTTTGGGTGCTTTAATTTGATATGCATTATGTATATATTTTATCTCGTAAATCCCTTGAAAACCCTAATATAAATTCTCATCCACTGCAATTTATAATTGCATATCCGTAACAAGCACGAATACAAGCTATTGATCCTACAGATTACTATTCCTCTTGTTGGCCCAAAAGGGGGAAAACAAGTAATTAAACTTGTGAATATTTTTTTCCAGAGATATAAATACTTTTTCATGGCAAAATGTTTCGGGTAGAGTCAATGTTCACGAAGTGTGAACGTATCAGAATTTTTAAGAGTTAATTTTTAAAAAATGAAACGAAACTAACATAAAGAATGAAACATTTATTAATTTGTATTCCTTTTTCCAAAAAAGAAAATGTAAATTAAAATAACTTTATATTAACACATGCACCCGCAACTGTGTGTTCATACAAGTGGGGCTCAAAATTCAAGCCACACATGCACCCGCAGCAATAATGTACGCGGCAGAATTCGACAACGGAGGCCATATGCATGCTTTTGTTCCTCATGATTGATGAGTAATTAATTTAACCTATATTTAATGAGTTATAATACTGATGAGTGTGTGCATATATGTGTGTATGTGATATAATTTAATCTGGCGTGTTAAGTTATGCAATGAAGAAAGAGAGAAATTAAACTTAATAGCACCTGCACAGGATGAAATGAACTGCTACTATATATAATTAGGGCAATCAAAATTAAGACAACAAAAGGAAAGGAGAATCCAATGATTGAACTTGAAAGGCAATATGAGTGTCGTTATATCAGATTAAGTAAACATTCATTAATGAATGAAGGCATATAAATGTGTATATATATTATGGGTCAAGAGGAGATAAATCGCTTTAATCGTGAACTGAGCTTCAGATCATATCAGAATAAAGAGCATAAGAGATCCTTTAATTTTGTGCCATGGGATCGGATGGACTCACACATGGGGAGGGACCATTTAGAACTATATATCATTTCCGTTCTGCAATATTATCAATATCATATTATAAAATTTCCATGTGTTCACATGCCAGAACATGCTTAACACTTTTTTTGTTTTCCCCATTTCGTTCACCACAATATTCATCTCTAATAA